ACTGTACTGAATTTTTTAATTTTTTTTTTTTTTTTTTTTTGCTTTCATTTTTTCTTTGCCGTGCCAATAAATCTCTCTAGTGTCTCCATGTCTTTGTGCTCTCAATACACGCTGTGCTCTCTTAGGAGAGGGGAAAGGTATTGCTTTCATGTCTTTTTTTGGAACTCAAGTTACTTAGGTTATAGGACAACATGCTTTAACTTTGGCTCTGTCCCAAATGGCACACTTCACATGCATTTGCGGTCTTGCGGACTTACAATGGCCACCGCATGCCGTTAAGTCCATGAGACCGTAGAGTGTCCCATTTGTCATTTTAGCTTTCAGAAGGGTGCTCACGAGTGCCTGCTTTGTGGCCGCTATGCGCCCTCGCTAGGCGAGCTCCGCAGCAGACTTTGTAGCAACTCATAATGTAATAACTGACAGTCAAAGCGGCATTACGTCACCAAATTGTAGACTCAGAAGAAGACAGCGAGGGGTTTAGGGTGTGATTTGGGACAGGGCCTTAGTGTTTTTCTGTGCTTCTGTTGGTGGCAAGAGCGAATGTGTGAAGTTTTTTTTTTTTCTTCTTTTTTTTTCTTTCTTTCTCCAGGTTGATTGTTAATTAGATGTGATATTTTTAGTAGGTGCAGCTTGTGTCAAAGCAGATCTGGTTTATGAGCTGTTCTGTATGATTCATAACTGTTTCCTGTTGTTCTAACAGTTAGAGGATGACATCGTTGCCAAGCCCAACTATTTTGCCACCATGAAAAACTTTGCTCTACAACTCGCCACTGAGGACTGGATGATCCTTGAGTTTTCACAGCTGGGCTTCATTGGTGTGACTTCTATATTTTAAATATCTTTATTTTTAAATATCTTATCAATATCTAGTCTATATAATTTGAGCTGCATAAATATTCACCCTTTGTGTCCCTCTGAAGAAAGAACAGGTTTAGAAAGACATAAGGGCGAGTAAATGATGACAGAATTTTCATTTAAGTTTTCTTTAAGACTTTCTTTTCATATATATATATATATATATGTTTGTATATGTGTGTGTACATTTTTTTTTTTATAAATTAATACTTTTATTCAGCAAGGATGCATTAAATTAATCCAAAATGACAGTAAATATTTAGAATGTTACAAAATATTTCTATTTGAAATAAATGCTGTTCTTTTGAACTTCCTGAAAAAAATGCTGTTTCCACAAAAATACTAAGCAGACGATCATAAAAAGAAATGTTTTTTTTTTCACCAAATCAGCATATTAGAGTGATTTCTGAAGGATCATGTGACACTGAAGACTGAAGTAGTAATGCTGAAAACTCAGCTTTGGATCACAGGAATAAATTACATTTGAAAATATATAAAATATATTTATTTTTAACACTGCAGTTTTTACTGTATTTTTATCAAATAAATGCAGCCTTGGTGAGAATAAGAAACATCTTTCAAAAACATTAAAAAGTCTTTACAACCCCAAACTTTTGACTGGTAGTCTTTTTTTAAATTAATGCATTATTATTATAAATTTTTTTTTTGTCGCTCTCAGGTAAGATGTTCCAAGCCCCAGATCTAAATCTTATTGTGGAGTTTATCTTCATGTTTTATAAGGAGAAGCCCATTGATTGGCTCCTGGATCACATACTCTGGGTCAAAGTATGCAACCCAGAGAAAGATGCCGTAAGTGAATACTCTCTGACTGCAAGTGTGTTTCTGTGACCTTGAACTCTCCTCTGCTGTGGTGCATCAGTGAGAGGCTTTTCACACTCCTTGAGCGGAGCAGAACAGGAACTTGTTTTTTTAGATCTTTCTTTCTCTCTACAAACAGACACGTTATGTCTCTATCTGTATTTCTTTATTTTTAACTCTATTTGTATTACGTCATTCTCACAGTCTAACTTGGCTTCCTCATTCTTTTTCTTTCCAGAAACACTGTGAGAGACAGAAGTCGAGTCTGCGCATTCGTTTCAGGCCCTCTTTGTTTCAGCACGTAGGCCTACACTCCTCCCTCGCTGGGAAAATCCAGAAACTCACGGTAACTCTTAAGTCATGAGTGTTAGGCACTGTTTACACCTGGTATAAACATCCATCTTGGGTGACCTAACCAGCGAAGTTTAAACCCTTGTTTTAGCATAATGGATGTTTGACAAGCAAGTCATTAATTTGTTATTCAGGACACATTATTGTTTACACTACAAATGTAGTTTTAGTGATTGTTATCCAAAACATGTTGGAACCCGGTTAAACCGCTTGTGATCTGATCATCTGAGATGGATGTTATTACTGGCTTTTCATGACCTTGCACAACTGTCAAATCTTTCCTCTAGCTGTTAAAAGTCCTGATTCTCTTCCATTGCAAACTTGCTTTGACTTCCTGTTATCCTGTTTTCTTGTACCCAAGTGTCTTTTTTTCTTGAATAGCTGACCTTTTACCCAATTTCGCTTGCTGTTTTTACTGTTAAGGACTGTTATAAATCAGTCCGGCCATCAGCTGCACTTCCTGTTAACTTTGTCTTGTGCTCTGTCAGGATAAAGACTTCCTGAAACCTCTGCTGCATAAGATTCATGTGAACCCGCCGGCGGAGGTGTCCACCTCTCTAAAAGTGTATCAAGGTCATACACTTGAGAAGACATACTTGGGCGAGGACTTTTTCTGGGCCATTACTCCAATGGCTGGAGACTATGTTCTGTTCAAGTTTGATCGGCCCGTCTACATAGAAAGGTCAGTCTCTCTCAGGATGGCTGCGAGAGATGCACACACACACACACACACACACACTCTCACAGGGATCGACGGTAATGATGGTGCGATGACCTAGAGCCAGTGTGAGAGAGGTTCAGGACATTTGAGGGACCAATATTGCATTTATCCACATTTATTTAATACACTATTCACATGCAAATACACACACCCAAATGATTTTGTTCTGTAATCCTCACCCTCTCCTAAAAGTGATGTTCACACTCACTCAGAGAGCTCATTCACACGTCTCTATGTCTCACTGTCCTCACAGGGGAGTAGAGGTGGCTAATGAGAAGTTTCTAAAATAAGACGCTGCAACCAAAAACCTCTGGAGAGGAAGACAGAGGGATGTAATTGAGAAAACAATGTTGAGCAGATACACAACTCTAGGAGAAGATTCTTATTTTTTTTTGCAGGCCCAATCTGGGTCAGTTCTTTGGATTTTTGGTTGCCCTGCCAGAACGGCCTGTATTTTTAGCAACATATCTGTATGTGTGTCAGAAAATATATTTAGAATTTTGTTTTAAATGTGAAGCTTTTTTTAACAAGTAATATAAATAATAAAACTTATTTTATAAATATAAATCTTTCATAAAAATAATTTATGAAATTTCAACATATTTCTAATGCTTTTATCTTTTTTTTTTTTTTTTTTTGGTCAATTAAAAAA